ATGAAAGAGGAAATGAGTTGAAGACTGAAAGGTCAAACAAAGTGAAACAGAGACCTGGAGGGGCCAGAGAGAGGGCTTGGGTGTGGGGCTGGAAGCAGTCTCATGGTGCTGAATTTTGCCTGTCCCTAACCTCTGGATCTCTGAGGTGATGGGTACTTTCCCCATGACTTTCAGCTGCCCTTTGTGTCAGGTTTCGAGATAGGGCATGGGGGTGTTTGGGTTTGGATTTCTACTCCAGAAGTTACACGGACCTTTTAAATCCCACAGCCCCTAGAGACCACAAAGACAATCATCAGAGGCATCTGCTTTGGACAGGGGCAGGGAGGAGGAGGTGGGCAGAGATCTGAGACCCAACTTCAGTAGGGGCTACCAGAGCAGAGTGAGAGGGAGCCTGGGAGGGGGCTCAGGACTGGGAGGAGGAAGGATGGGGGCAGGACTGCAAATGGACCCTCTGGCGGAGTAGCAAAGAAGGAGGGACCTCTCCCAGGTTGGGAAATGGCTGGAAGGGCTCGGCTGCAAGAGGGACGTGGGGTTCAGCTGGCCAGATTTCCAGCCACAAAGCCTCAGTCGAGAGTCCTTTCTGCCCTAGGTACAGGCTCTCGGGGTGGGGTGGGGGCGGAGGCTGTGGCAGAATAGGGGACAAGAGGCCCTGGGTTGTTAGTGAAGAAAGGACGTCTACCCCTGCCCCTCCTTTCAAATTCTCCTAGGGAAAAGATGATCGGCTCTGCCCTTCCCAGCCCCAGCCTGTCTTGCTCTCCTACCTAAGCAGCTTTAGCTAATGGTATTAAGGGAGGTCTGAAGACTAACCACTCTGCTTGGGGCTGAGATCAAGAGGAGAAACCAGAGGCTTCCACTTAGATCCCAGATTTGGCGGAGGATAAGGATGGCAGTTTGCTTGGTGCTAAAACTAAAATATGCTCCCCTCCCATCTCTGTGTTCACACTGCCGCCCCTCTGACACCCACCCCCACTTGCATGTCTGGACATCACCTGTGTTCACAGACCCACTTCCACAACTCTATTTCTCTGTCTCATTCTCTCTGACTCTCTTTCTTGCTGACTCTCTTGCCCCGTCTCTTTCCTCCACGTTTGTATTTAGAAACAGCCCTGCGCGCCCACTGAATCCACCCAGCAGTCTTTAGAAGGCTTGGCCGCGTCCGGTCAGTCAGATCATGCAGCCCCTCAGAGGGCCCCACAACAAAGTGACTTTTGATGCAAGTGTCTGCTTTGCAGAGACACAGCATTGGTCTTGAACTCTCGACTTTCCCCCCACCCAGGTATGTTCCTCTTTTTCATCCTCTCTGTATTCTACTCTGCCCATCTGACTGCCTGTCTGTCCTCTGGCTTTCTAGGGCCTCCACAATCATTTTTCTGGCAAAGAGCCCACTTCCTAGGTTTATACTGAATGCCTCCTGCCAGCCTCCTCTGTCTGCTCCCAAGTTTCATTCTCAACATTTCTGCCCCAATTGACTGATTACAGTTGAGAACCTGGAGTCAGACAGACCTGTTCCCATCCGGCTCCACCACTTGCCCAAGGATCTTATGCAAGTCTCTAAATTGTCTGAGCCTCAATTTCCTGGGCTTGCAAAACAGAGAAAATAATACCCACCTTGAAGGGTTATTGTGAAAACTCAAGGAAGTGACATATAACAAAAAAAAAAAAAAAAAAAAAAAAAAAGTCAAGTTCAGTGCTGGGTGCATGAGAGAGACCCAATTCATATTAACTAAATTCTTAAAAAGGTAAAATCTGTTGTGGGCATTTCCTTTGGCTTCAAGTCCTAGCTTAAGGCTTACTCCCTATTGTTATCATCATTATCTCTTGCTTCTATTAAATAAAGACCTAAAACCTACATGTGTGGTAATATACACTTGTGCTGGCCAAGGCGATTAATCATATTCTTAGTAAGCAGAATGATGGTGATGAGAATAATAATTGCTTGCTGCTCTAACCCTTCAAAAAACACAAAGTGCTTAAGAGAGGCCATGGATGATTCAAGGTTGGGTTATGATCCTTTTTGATTTATAGTCCTCAATACTTGTCCTCTTGGGACTACAGGACCTGTGTAGGGTCTGGTAGAGCTGCCCAAAGCTTTGCACATTAGCTCACAGCACAAGAGGGAGGGAGCTGGGAGATGAGGGAGTGGGATAGAGTGGGACCACCTACCTCCTTCAGCCTTGGGAACATCACCAGGAGTGTAGGTTAAAATAAAGCATAAGGACTTAAGGTTAAACACCAAGAGTAATTTATGGGAAAGAAGGGAGAACTAAAATCTGCTCTTCTCTGAGGGTCCCCATAGTTGGTCAGCTCAAGGTTTCCAGCAGAAAAGAAAGCAGAGGGGAGAGAGTTGGCAAAACTTGCCCCAATGAAGATTCCCACATCCAGAACCAGCAAGCTCCTCAGAGATCTGAGATGACTGGAGGGACTCTCACACATGCTGGCCAAGCCAGAGAGGGCTGTGGCATTGAGACATTCAGGAAACCCAGAGGTTTAACCCACTTTGGTTCTGTATTTTGGGTTTTATTCTTTTGAGCACAGAAGAGGGGTTATTCATAGGCTCCATACATGGCTGGATATAATAAATCTTTTTTTAATATACATACACTTTTAACATTTTTTTAGTGATTTTAGAGAGAGAGGAAGGGAGAGAGAGGGAGAAACATCAATTTGTTGTTCTACTTACTTATGCATTCATTGGTTGATTACTGTATGTGCCCTGAATGGGGATCGAACCCACAGCCTTGGCATATTGGGACAACACTCTAAAATAAGCTACTCAGCCAGGGCTTGAATATTATAAATCTTGATCTAAGGTCTCACTTTACACTTTTTCACTTAGAGCTGTATGACCTTAGGGAAGTTACTCTACGCTTTTGAGCACTATCCTGTCTGGCACTCCGTGTGAGGTGCAGGGCAGGTCAGCGCCTCAGCACAGCACTGCGGCGCAGAGTGTTTGCTTCCAGGTGGATTATCATTTTCTTCTTTGCCAGACCCTAAATCTTTGCTGAGGTCTCAAACCTTCCAGACCAGGAAATACCATCAGACCCAGCAGACACTGGGACAGCCATAGAACTTGGTCAGGTTCCTCCAAGAAAAACTTTTCCCTTGAAATCTCTCACTTCTACAACCCCAATTTCCTAACCCATTTTTCTAAGGTGAGGAAGGAGAGATTAGAAAAGGAGGAAATTCCCAAAGGATGGGGCAAGAAATAAGAGCAAGGGCATCTGCTTCAGGAGAGGAAAAGAAAGAAAGAAGAGGATTCCAGAATGTCAGCTATAATTTTAGAGACAGAGGGATGTGTGGAAACCCTATTCACCCAGATTCAGAGTAGCACTGACCTAACCATGGCCCTGTCTAATTTTCAGAGATGCTCTCTCCTCAGGCCACACTGGGGAATCCCCAGAAGCACCTGCCCCATCCCCCACTCCCCTTGAGCCATCAGTCTGTCAGTTGACTTCCCTGGAGCCAAGCATTCTGTGGAGAAGGGAAAGCAAAAAACCACATGACCTCTTGTTGTGGGGGTGGTGAAAGCAGGGAGGATCTTTTCACCTGCTGTGCCTAGGAGTTCTTGACCTTCTAACACCCGCAGCTCCTTTTTACTGTGTTCTTGCTATTCAAAGTAAGGTCCACAGGCCAGTAGATATGGCATCGCCTAGGAACTTGTTAGAAATGCAGAATCTCAGGTTCTACCTAGCTCCACTGAATCAGAATGTGCACTTAAAGAGATCCTCAGGTGATTATTATGCACATTAGAGTTTGAGTAGCACTATTACAGATTTTTTTTTAAGTCTCGAGGTAACACTTTAAAAAATGAGAAATGACAAAGTGCTATGGATTAGGAGTAGGGGTATGGTAGCTAAATACCGTGTGTCAGTCACTTTCTCTCTGCGAGCCTGGTCTGGAGAGTGAGGCAGCCACTCCAGCCAAGCCCTCACATACCCTCCGGACCTTCCCACCTCCTAAGTCCCAGGTGAGAATGGCACAAACCTCACACCCACTGCATCAGACACAGTAACCCAGCACCCATCTCCTGTTTACACATGGCCCTTACATCCAGGTAGCTCCTTGGGCCCGCCCCCAGGAGCAGACCTGCCCCCTGCCATCCCTCCTCAGCCCACTTGCTTATCATTTTTTCTTCCACAATCAGTTTCTCTTGAGGCTCATTCCACAATCTTCTCCCCACCTCACCACCACCCCACCACCCATGCCACTTTGGGAATCAATACAGACCCCTTCTTCCTTGCCCATTTTCATCAGTTCAACAAATATTTGCAGAGCATCTGCAGGGGCAAGGCCCTGGGCTGGGATGGGCTCTAGAGGGCCAGCAGTGAACAAGGTAATTGGGGTTCCTGGCCTCATGAAGTTAATACAGGTGTTAAACACATAGTGATACCATTGATAAATTCAGTACCATTTCTCAATTGTATCAACAATCACTTCTTGAACAACTACGATGTGCCAGATACTCTACTAGACACGCAAGACTAATCAGTGAAAAAACACAAAAATCCTGTTCTTCTCAAGTGTAAAATTGTTCTAAGTACATTGATGGTATGGGTTCTTTGTACCTGCCACCTTCTCCCACTCAAGGTTTAAAAAGAGCCATGACTAATTACATTTTGCCTTGTCTTATCTTGGGAAGAACTCCGATCCTATTAAGGCCTGAGAAGAGATCTCCTTCTCTAAATCTGCCAGTAGGGGTAGGATATAGGACCCTTTTCATTCTACTCCATCTCTATAAATGACTCAGCATCCTGGATCAACTCCTGGCCAGTGAGGAGATCCCCAGAGGAGGCAGGGCTCTGCCAGGGGTGTTGTGGAGCTTCCTGCCTCAGACCTTGCTCCTCTGCCTCAGCCTCTCTTTTCTCCCTTCATCTCTTCCCTCTTACCTTCTTCCTTCTTTGCCTCCCTCCCTCTTTCACCTCCTTCTCCCTTACCTTCTTTCCCTTCCTTCTAAGTGGTGGCCATTTCTCCCCAAGGTCCAGACACAGTTCTCTCTCCCAGACTGGAACATGCACCACTGTTGCTTGGCAGAGGGCGTTCCCCGAATTGCCGGCAACTCCCGGATCTCAGGTGAGCCTCTGCCAGGTCTCCCACCCATGCTCCAGCTGTGGTGCTGGAGGCACTCACACTCCCCTCTCTGCCTCAGGCTTGGCCTTCCCCTACGGGGCCTACACAGCTGAGTCATCCCCAGGCTCCCGGCAGACCCAGCTGTGGCGCTTCATCCTGGAGCTGCTGCAGAAGGAAGAGTTCCGCCATGTCATCGCCTGGCAGCAGGGAGAGTACGGAGGTTTGTCATCAAAGATCCAAATGAAGTGGCTCGCCTCTGGGACCATAGGAAGTGCAAACCACAGACGAATTATGACAAGCTGAGCGGGGCGCTCAGGTGAAAGGAGGCAGCCAAACTGGCCAGAGAGGGCAGAGTTCAAAGGAAAGGGCTGCTGTTTCCCACACCCCATCTGAGTACTGACCCTTTAAAGCTTGGAGAATGTACTTGAGTGTGATCAGATACCTTGTGGTTATCCAGGAACAGCTTGTGGTTAGCCTTGCTGACCTGGGGAGGGAGACATACCTGGGAAGGGGGACATAGTTGGGTCTCTGGCTACTCTCCCTGGCCACTGGGCCAACTCTCCATTCTCATCCTTGGGATCTTCAGATATTACTACAATAAGAAGGTCCTGCACAAGAACAAAGGCAAAAGATTCACTTGCAAGTTCAACTTCAGCAAGCTCATCATAATCAGCTATCCTCTATGGGAGGTGCAGGCGCCACCAACCCCCAACCTGCTGCTGAGGGCCTCTGCCTTGCTTCGGCCAGCCCTGGTGCCCATGGGCATGCAGAGTGAGGTAGGCATGAAGGCAGCCCCTAGCCCTTGGGCTCCACCAGGCTCCATCTCTCTGCCCAGCAGAACCTCGGCCCTCCTTTCTGCATCAGGAACCCATCAGCCTCCAAAGTTCTTGTCCCCCTGTATCCTAGTCACTGAGTATCCCAGAGGCAGGGTTGATACTCTAAATCTTCTAAGATACTCTAATATCCCTGTGCTAAGAATCACTCCTTTAGAGGTGGATCACAGGAAAGGAAGTAGGGGTATCAGGCAAGGGTCCAGGGCATGTGGACAGGGGTGATTTAACAATCATGATCAGCGTATTTCATTGTTTTAACAACTGGCTATTAAACAGTATTTCCTGAGGAATGTATGCCAGGGAGAGCCCATTCTACTCCACACCTTCTTCTCCTCACTCCGCAGCTCCTGTACAGCATGCTGCTCACCCACTGGGTCATGGTGGAGTGGACGGCTGGACAGCGGATGCCCTGAGGGCCACCAGAAGCCTCTGAGGATAAGAAGGGGAGAAGCAGCAGTGTCTACCATGAGTGCTTGGGACTGGTGAGGGCCCAGGGAATCTTAGCCAGATAAGGGGAGCATCTGCTGAATGAACAAATGGGTGAGGGAACATGAGACAGGCCTTGCAAGACATTTGGTCCTGGCCAAAACACCCGCTCCAAAAGGCCCTTGATGTTTGGTCCTGTCCAAAATGCCCATGGAGACATTTGGGCCACCCTGACCTATCTACCCAACCCGTGTGCCATGACCAGCTGAGCAAGAAGTGTTATTGGCAGTACAGCCACAACACAATTATTGGACCAATTAAACCTGGTAGTATTTTTTATGTATTAACCTGTAAACCAAAAGTAGAAATAAACAGTCCGGGTTGTTTGAACCCAGGGATGTTTTCTAAGGGTAGATGTTTTGGACAGGACCAAATGTCTGCTAATTGAGACAAGGGATAATATAAGTCATTTATTCATTCACCTAACATTTCTTGAGCACCAGCTATTTATTAGGTTTGGGGGTTCAGAGATGAAAGATGGCCCTCAAGATGCTCAGAGACTAGTAGGGGGCAGAGATGGAAATACAGCCAGTGACAGATGCTGAGATCTGGGGAAGCACATGCTGCTACAGTTATGCAGCGAAGAGAGTTAAGACTTCCTAGAGGAGGCTCCACCTGAGCATGTGAAACAGGTGAGGAAGAATGCTCGGGCACAGAAGAGTATTTGTAAATCTAAAAGCTGTGAGCGAGTGTTGCAAATCTGAAGAACTACTAGTAGGTTGCCATGATCAGGGAGTGAGTTATGTGATAGCAGTGAGGACAAGGAGGAGGGTGACAGATTAGGCTAGCAAGGCAAACAGGTGTCCAGTCACAGATGTCCTCCAAAGCCATGCTAAGGGGGTTGGACTTTATCACATGAGCAGGGGGGACCTAGGAAGGAAGAGGTATGTTGAGATCTTTATTGTACTAAGATGACTTGGGTTCATGTAGAGTTTGTGTTGGAATAGGCATAGACTGGTAATGGGAGGTTTTTGAAGACAATCTAGGCTGAAGATGAGGGGACCAGGGCCAAGGCAAGGACAATGGGGTGGAGAAGGAGGCCCAACTGAAAAGATTGGAAAGATAAAGTTCACTCACTCATTCATTCACTTACTCACTCATTTCTTCTTTCAACAGATATTTAATGACCTCCTGTTTAATGTGCCAGACATTGTCCTAGGGCTGGGAACACCAACCTGAGTGAGCAAGACTGCTTTTATAGAGCTTGTAGACAAGAGGGACTTTGCAGACACTCAGTTAACATTTTGACAGATAGGAAATTATAATTGTGCTAATTGCTGCAGAGAAGTTCAGGGTGCAGAGAGCATCTGAGAAGACTTCCTTGACAAAGTGATATTTGAGTTGATACCCAAAATATAAAGAGGCTTCAGCTTAGCTTCGAAGAAGTGAAGAGAGCATGGCAAGCAGAGAGAACAGTGTGTGCAAAGGTCCTAGCAGAGGAAAAAGGAACTAGGAGAAGGCAAATATGGCAGCATATAGTGATCTGAGGGGAGAAGGTAGAAATGTATGCAGAGGCCGGCACATACAAGGCTGTAAGCTAGGAGGTGACAAAATCAGATTTTCTGTGCAAAAGATCACAGACACAGGCTCTTATGCAGAGGCCAATGACCCACCCCCTTTATTCTTTGGCAATTTCTTGGAATAAGAACTCTTGGCCTTAGCCCCACCCTCAGTAGAGCTGGGGACCCAGAAGTCCCTTCTCTCAGAGAACACAGGGCCCTGGTTCTGGGCCCCTGTGAGTGCAGCTAAGGCTGTGGGTGTGGGCGGCCCAGGGCCTGCTGGGACTCATCTGGCAGCCTGGAGCCAAACAGCACCTGAACAGCACTCCCTGTTCTTCCACCCCCACCCACACTTTCCCCAGCTCTGGGAATGCCTTGGACACAGAGCTTCTCTCTTTGGGAAACTAGGAGTGGGTAAAAAAGTGTTTGCTGGCTTGGAGCTGGCTATTTTGCACCTCCCTGCCCTCTGCAGGTAAACACACAAACCTGCCTGGGCTTGGGCCCTGAGGGCAGGTGTAGGTCACTAGAAGACTAGTAGCAGCCACATGCCACACTTCTGGATGGTGATTCCAGAAAGCTGTGCCAGCCCCTTAGCTCTATCTTCTCTCAGAGTATATGGTGCCAAGAGAGGAACCTGCTTCCGGGCAGAGGAGTGGCCAAAACTATTGAGCCAGAGACAGAAGCTGCAAGATTGGTGCTAGGAAGGGGTGGGAAAGGAGCAGGACTATCTCCTCCACATGCCTGCTCAGCTATGGATCTCCGAGGGCAGACACAGCCCTGACCTCAGGGGTCAGGGGACACAAGCTTCTTGGTGGAAAGCAGCAGCAGCAGTCTCCACCTCATGTAAGGACCCAAAGAAAAGGACAGTGGCCCAGGAGAGGGTCCTCTGGTAGACATCTCCATGCTTTTCTTCGTGAAGGATCATTTTTGCTATTTTCCCCTTACCCAGCTCTAACTTCAGAAATATTGTTTGTAGTAAATAAATCAGATGTATTTTCATAACTAATTTGTTTTTCCAGTTTTCATCAACAATAGCCCCACCAATGTGATCACATCAGGGTGATACTTGCTTTTCTAGTTAAATGATGTGGCCTGCTAAGAAAAATGTGGAACTAGTGTTAGGTTTTTGAAATATAGAAAGTGATGTGAAGTTCTATATAGCCATACCCACAGAACCCAAGCTGGGAGCCCCTATGTAAAATCCTAGAGAAAGAGGGCAGATTTGAGAGGAATGGAAGAAGGGAAGTCTTCTTGGACGAGAAGAGTTATGGGCCAGAGCCAACTGGAGGCGAGGAAGATTGGGGCCCAGTCCATGTGCACCATGCCTCTGGCCCCCTGGGCCCCTTCTTACTGATGATGTCACTTGTTCTTAGCTAGAAGAGGGGTCTTTATGGATGAAGAAACAGGCCTGAGAATTTCAACAACATGCCCAGAGCCATGCAACCAGTTCTTTGCCCAGCTAGAACTGGAGTCCTCTGCTACAGGGAGAATGAAGAATGGATTTACTGGGTTATGGCAAAGAATAGCTTCATTCATTCATTCAACACATTTTTACTGAGCCCTTAATATGTGCCAGGCTGGGCTGGATCCAGAAGAAAATAAAACAAACTGTTCATGTTCCCACAGAGCTGTAATCTCACAAATGACTACCTGATTCTAATCAAGCAAAGCACCCTGGAGGAGAGGTACTGGGGGTCATAAAGAGCAACCAGGGCTCTTGCCCAGGCTGGGGCGGTCTCAGAAGGCTTCCCCAAGGAAGTGACATTTACGATGAGACCTAAAGCAAAGCAAAAAAGAAGGCACATGGGAGGAGAGAAAGCTTTAATCAACACAAAAAAGAAGAAGAAAATGGGAGAAGAAAGGTGGAGTTGACCCTCCCTTAACACTCTTTCTCTTTTTTTCTAGGACTTGGGCTCTGCCTCCACCCGCTGCCTGCTCTGCCCTTGCTGCCATTTGGGGGCCCTCCCAGATCTGCCCAGTTTTGCCTCCTTCACACCTCCCCTTCCACTCTCTCTCCCCTCCAATTGTACCTGCCTCTCAGGGCCCTTCTTGCCCCCTCTCCTCCCAGAGCAGCAGTTTCCGAGGTCCTCCAAGCCAGAGAGCCTGCTCCCGGGGCCCATAGCTGGTGCCCCAGGAAAATGCTGGTGCCCCCTAGCAGCATGGCATTTTCCAGGGCTTCCCCATTGGCTGAGCTGGGACAGGGGCTGGTGAGAAGCTCAGGTTCTTCTCTTTTAGGCCAGAGATGTTGGAGGTAAAGCCGTACCCCCAAAAGGGGGCAAAGGGATGCCTGGATCCCTGGCAGGCCTTTTCCTTAGAGGTGCAGGGGCCCAAAACTGGGGAGAAAAATCCTGTGTCCCCCAATTTGGATAATTTTGAAGCAGCATGGACCTTGCATCCTCCTTAACTGGTGAAGCAGGGGACCCCCAAACTCCATTTCTCCTCTTGTCCACCTCCCTGCTGGCACCTTCCCCTAGGTGGGAATAGGTTACATGGCAGAAGGATTCAAATGGATGGAGTTGGACCCAAGAGGGTGGGGGCATTGCCAAGAAGGAGCATATGTGGAGATGGGAAAAACTGAGGTAGGGTGCCCCCTCCCTTCCCACTAAATTGCTAATCATATTAAGGAGACCTCCTTTTATTATTATTATTATTGATTTGAGAGAGAGAAAGAAAGAGAAAGATCCCTTTATTGTTCCACTTATGCATTCATTGGTTGTTTTCCATATGTGCCCTGACCAGGGATCGAACCCCCAACCTTGTCACACTGGATGACACTCCAACCAACTGAGCTAGCCAGCCAGAGCTCTTCTTGTCTTTCAAGTATATTTTATTGATTAAGCTGTTACATTAGTCCCATTTTTTTCTTCCCTTTATCCCTCTCTGCCTGGTACCCCCATTACCTCAAGCATTCCACCCCCCTTAGTTCACATCCATGGGTTGTACATATAAGTTGTTTGGCTTCTCCATTTCCTATGCTATTCTTAACCTCCCCCTGCCTATTTTGTACCTGCCAATTATGCTTATTTCCTGTACCTTTTCCCACATTCTCCCCTCTCTCCTTCCTGCTGATCTCCCTCCATATGATCTCCATTTCTATGATTCTGTTCCTGTTCTAGTTGTCTGCTTAGTTTTGTTTTGTTTTGTTTTTTAGGTTCACTTGTTGATAGTTGTGAGTTTGTTGTCATTTTCTGTTCATAGTTTTGATCTTCTTTTACTTAAATAAGTCCCCTTATCATTTCATATAATAACGATTTGGTGATGACGAACTCCCTTAACTTGACCTTATCTGGGAAGCACCTTATCTGGCCTTCCAGTCTAAATGATAGCTTTGTTGGATGGAGTAATCTTGGATGTAGGTTCTTGCTTTTCATCACTTTGAATACTTGTTGCCAGCCCCTTCCTGCCTGCAAGGTTTCTTTTGAGAAATCAGCTGACACTCTTATGGGAACTCCTTCATAGTTAACTCTCTTCTCTTCTCTTGCCGCTTTTAAGATTCTTTATCTTTAATCTTTGGCATTTTGGTTATGATGTGTCTTTGTGTGGTCCTCTTTGGGTCCAACTTGTTTGGGATTCTCTGTTCCCAGTTGTTCCTCCTGGTTTTTATACACGTGTGAATGTGGGACCACCCCCATCTTCCAGCCGCCACCTCACTGCACACCCTTTCTGCCCCGGCTGCATCTCTGTCCACCTACCAATCTAGATGAATGTTTCTTCTTTAACTCCTTGGTTGTTGGACTTCCATACAGTTCAATTTTCTGGCAGTTCTGGTTGTTTGTTGTTTTTAATTTGGTTATTACCCTTCTTTTGGTTGTGCAAGGAGGCGAAGCATATCTACCTATGCTTCCATCTCAGCCAAAAACCCCTCTTTTCTACTCTACTTTCTTTTAAATCCTCACCCAAGGACATGTTTTATTGACCTTAGAGAGAGAAGAAGGGAGAAAGAGAGAAAGAGAAACATCAATGTCAGAGAGGAACTTCGATCTGTTTTCTCCCATATCCACATTGATCGGGAATCAAACCTGCAGTCTAAATATGTTCCCATACCCAGGATGGAATCTGCAGCCTTTTGGTGTACAGGCCAATGCTCCAACCTATAGAGACACCCAGCCAAGTCAAGGAACATCCTTAATCTCAACTTTTTTTGAGGGAGATGAGAATACAGTTTCCATCATTTGAAGCACCCCACACCTACCCTCTTGAGGGGGAAATCAAAAGTCTAGGTTGGGAAGGGGTCAGGAGTTGATTTGTTCCCTGAATCTCAAGGCAACTCCATCCTTCTGTGGGGCCCACATCCCTTACCCAGTCTCCCTCCTGCCCCTCCATGCATTTCTTTCCCATCCCTCTGACTTCTGTGATCCTGGGATGTTCATGCAGGTATGTCCTTCCACCTCCATTTCCACAAGACACAAGCAAGTGGGATAGGTGGGGACTCTGTAATACTCTACTGCAGACCATGAATAAAATGCCCTTGGCAAACTGCTCTCTTGGCTGACATTCCTGCTGCTTTCTGATCTGGTGTGGACCTAAACACTGGGATGAGGTCCTCAGGCCTGGAGCAACTGTGGAAATGAAGCCAGCCAGTCTCTTCCCTCCTGCTTCCATCATGCCCCAGAGATAAAGGCTGAAAGAAGCCACTCTGGCCAAGTAGAAAACCAGCCTTGAGGAAGGAACAGAGCAGAGTGAGGATCTTTACAGAATAGCACTTAGATGCCTATCATGGATCTCTAAGCAGAGCTCAAGGGGCAGGGGTGAAGAATAGCATTGGCAGGATCCCTCTTGTTCTAAGCCCCAGATCCTAAGAGTGAAGAAGGGGGCTGATTGAAGCATTGGGTGGCTGGAGAAGGGGAAACACATGAAAGATGGTCTTTTGCTTAACTAAGGAAGTGCCAAGGTGATTGAACCATATTGCTCTCCTATCTCCAGGCTATCAATGACAGGTTCAGGGTTTGTCTTCACTTCCTTTCTATGGTGAGTAGCAGGGACCAAAGAGGTGCACAAGGTCTTTTTTCCCCACCATTTGTCCCTGTCCCTCATCCAAAGGGCAAGAGCACTTCCCTCTCTCTGTGATCCCTGTACATTTTCCTTTCTGCTGCCTCTCAGTCCTTCTTTGTGGTAGGTGCGTCATTGTCACAAATGGAATAGGAAGGAGAGACCCAGAGTAGGGCAGGGTTAGGTCTCACCTCACAGGAAGGTTGAGAAGAGCAAGGAACCCAGACCCAGGCCAACAGAAATAATCTACAAGTATTCATCATCTCAATCTCCCTTATGCACCCCACATGCCCACAAAAGGGGACCTCAGAGTGTCTCTCCAAGGAGATCTCATGGGCTAGAGAAAATTACTCACTTGCTCCCAAAGCCACAGGCCCAAACACCAAGGCTTTCCCAATAACCTGCCCAGTTTGGGGAAGCAAAGAGTTAGTGTTGTCTGCTCTAGAAAGAGGGGCTTGGACCCAGTTCAGAGAGGCCTGCCCAAGGACAGAGCCCCATAAGAGAACCCCTGTGTTCTCTGCCTTACCCTCTTCTTTTCATTTGTCTATGGTTGCTGTGATCCCCTACATCTCAGGAAATGCTTTGTTGTCACTATTCTAAAATTTTCCTTTGGAGTAGGTGAACTTAGGAGACTGAAAACTCAGCTGCAGAGGACATAAGTTTGCAGGTGGCACACTCTGCATTTTAGACAACACATTCAGGTAGAACAGAGCTACACAGCCTCAGCACTATTGACATTTTGGGCTGCAAAATTCTTTGTTGTAAGGAGCTATCTGTACATTTCAGGATGTTTAATATATCTTTGATCTCTAGATAGCAATAAGCACCCACCATCCCTGCTTTCCTCTCCGAACATTGTGAAATGTGCCGTGGAAGGAAGAAATGTCCCTGGTTTAAAATCTCTTAAGCAGAGCATGGCTTCAGTGACTCCAGGTTGTTCCAGCAAAGATGCTCCACAAACACAGAGACCTGTTGGTTTCCACATTGCAAGAGTGCCCTCTGATGGCCATAGTCAATACCAACACTCAGAAGAGCTCACAGCTCTGGACTATAGCCTCTGGGGTGGACTGGACTCTGGGTGGGTAGAGTCCATGGGGAGCCTATGAAAGGGTGATGGACAGCTTGGAGTCTTCTGAGAGGAGGATGCAAGTCACAGGATAAAAATGTTGTATGTTAATCCTCCCATTTCAAACTCTTTTTGCAAATCATGAACTATTCACCCAAGCATCAGCAGGTGTAATGTGACAACAGACTGTGGGGTTGTCAGTTTCTCTGGTACAATTAGCACTGCCATCAACCCTAGACAACACCTTCTGGTCATCTGTAGCTACTCAGCCTTCTTCTATGAGCAGTGGAAACTATTTCCTGAGAAAGAAAATACCTACTAAGAAGGGATCTCAGTGGCTTAACTACACTCAAGTTTAAAAAACAGAGCCTAGGAGCCATTTCTACGCAGGCAAACCTCTCGTGCAAATCGCACTCCAGGGAGAAGCCTATACTAAGTTGCCTGTCTCCTGCCCTGAACTGCTTGCTTACACTGTGTCGCTGCCATCTGAGCCAGCCTGTATACAGGAGTTTCTGGAATTCTGTTTCAACCAATAGAACTAAGACTTTTCCCATCCAATTGGATCTGTGCGACTATATCCTCCATCAGTATCTTCACCAACGAAACAGGATGGTGCTTTTTGGGCCAATCAAACTGCCTGGATTTGGAATCCTCATTTGTATGAGGATGGACCAATTAGGAATCAGGGGCAGGACTTCTGTCTTTGTAAGTCAGCTCTCCTCTAGCTCTAGGAACACACTTCCCTGTTCTGCCAAAGGCGAAAGACTGTGTGTCCTTAGCTGGATCTGAGGCAGAAACATCAAAGATGTTTCACCAGAGCAGAGCAGAGCTGTCTAGCTGGAGAGGGGCCTGGACCCAGGGCTGGGTAGCCTCACAGCCATGTTGTTCCACAGCTGTACTGCTTTATAATTGAGCTATAACACTATTGAGCTATTCCATGGCTGTCCTGTTTTCACAGTGGTACTCTATTACAATTGAGCTGTGTGTTTCAGCCTCTCTAGGCTTGACAGGTCCGCTTGTGGCTCAGGCAGATGGAATAAGATGTGTGGAGCCTTGGGGATGCTTGGCATGCCTTTATTCAGGAGAGCCACACAGGCACAAGCTCAGGTTGAGGAAATCACATAGGCCACAATGCCCATGTGCGTGCTGCACACAGACCACAAGCCCGAGTGGAGGGGGTCACACAGGCCACAAAGCCTGTGTCCAAGTCAGCGCCCAACTCTCCACTTCGTCCAAAGTTCCTATCCCCTAAATACCAGCCCTAAACAAAGCAGGCTACAGGCCAGAACATGAAGTAACTATCATGAGCTGCGCATGGGAGCCTACTCAAGGCTACAGGGCATTTTGTC